CATCGAAGTTGGTGAGAGCAACTCACACGTGATCTTGTCCGATTCTTTGGGCAGCCTGTTGGCTCTGACAACCTTTAACCCACCTTGCCCCATTATACAGGATATTTTAGTTCGCCTGAGAGCGCTGGATCTTGCTGGTAAAACTGTCGTCTTATGTTGGATACCGAGCCATGTGAGTATCGCAGGTAACGAGCGTGCTGACGCGACCGCAAAACGGGCAGCGCGTGCACCTTGCACCCGTTCTTTACCCTTGCCGGCAAGGGACTTTTACCCTGCAATCGCGACCATTGTGAAGGGGAAATGGCAACGCTGCTTGGACGCCATTGTAAACACTAAGTTAAAGATGATCAAACCACAACTGGGTCCGTGGTCTTCAAGCTCACGTACGTTGAGACGCGAAGAAGTAACCCTCAGCAGATTACGAATTGGCCACACGCACGCAACACGTAGCTACCTTTTGTACGGTGAAGAACGCCCTAAATGTCCTCGCTGTGATGCGCCACTTACGGTACGGCACGTTGTTCACTCTTGCCCACAGTTCAGAGAAGAGTGGGCACTTTACTTCGGACGAGATGCGTCAGGTCTTACCTTTTCAGACCTTATTGGTGACGATTCTCGCATGCTTGGCACCGGACAGCTGTTTTCATTTTCGAGAAACGTAGGATTCACAGCCATTTACACACCACGGTAAACACTTAGCTGTTATGGGCGCAAAATGACCCTTGAAGTCCACGCGCCCTAAAACCCCAATCATTATTATTCTTCCCAATGAGCTGTCCCCCTCCCCCAATGATGGGCCGGGCCCCTACAATATTTGTCTGGGCCTCGGGAAGTGGTACCTGGCTATCAGTACTATTTGTTCTTGGAAATAAAGGCAATTCAATAACTTGTACTAAAATTGGCAACATGGGGGCACGCTTCAAATCAGGCTTTTATCTATGCATTCTTACGACACAAAAGCCTAATAACTGAGCTATTTCGTTCAAAGGGTTTATGTTCTGTGCTAATGAAACGAGGCGCAAGCATCGCATTTCAAACACCTGTGAATGAATGTGAAATTCAAGCGCGTCTTTGCAATTGGCTTCGTGCTACACAGGTCATTGGGTGGGCCACGGATGTCACAGGTCATTGGGTGGGCCATGGACGTCCCGCGGCTACAGTACAAACGGAGAAAACCCTTCATCGTTTACTTTTCAAGCGTATCACTAGGGGCGGATCCAGGCTTGCATCAAGAGGGCTTAGGTTTCACTGTGCTGCCTCCTGGAACTTAATGATCCCCTGACAAAATTTCCCGGATTACGGCCATTTCATTTTTCAGATTCTTATTTTCGAATCGGAAAACTATGTCCATTGCGCACCGTGGAGGTCTAGACATAGGTGGGTATGCATGAATATGAAGCACGTAAAGAAGAGGGGATCAGAGGGAAGAAGGGTAGCACAGTTTACAAAGAGCCGTGCTGCTGGAAAAGCAGCAGAGCACTCAGTCTCCCTAATCTCCCACAAAATGGGCCACAGGATTTGGCTGTCTGTGTCAAAATATCTATTTTTCTGTGATATGTTGAACTTCTTTGACTGAATGGTAATCAAGAAGCTACTTGACGATACAATGCTGCATGCATTTATAAGGAAATGAAGTGACATCAGCCAGGAGATCAATAACGGCAGTTTGAATCGCATAAACCACCGGCTCTATTCACTTTCCAATCGTTCATTCCGCCCTTTCGATCGAAAGCTGACAGTCAAATGCGTTGCAGGACTTTCTCAGGGTTTTACAAACATCTCGACGGACTCGTAGATTGAACGCCAGCATAGATCTGAACCGTGTCAAAAGTTTGCATCGATATCTCCAGCCTTTGCTCAATTGGGCAAAACTATAACCACTTTAGAATCCATTAGCGAAAAAAGATTAAAATAGTTTTAAGCCTGTACGCTTTAAGCCTAAATGTATGAAAGAACAGCGGCGCCCGACGCTGCAGTCTCCATGGGAAACGCCGCGTCGGGGTACCAGTAATGTTTGGCGGCATCAACGAGGGGCGAAAACGACCGCCTATCGGAAAATCGTTAAACTCGTTCGCATACAGAAGGCATCCCGGGCCGTAGATTTCACCTTTGCTCTTTTCAGATCGACACTCGGAACAGATTAGCGCGTGCAGCACGCACAGCACAACTGACTCATGACGTAATGGCGTAATCACAACTGCTCTTGTCGCTGTTCAGATGCCGATCAGATCAGATGCTCAGCCGTTCAGGAGATCAACCTAAAAGTGGTGCTAGTGAGATTTCTTGTACAGGAGCTCAAAAGAAGTGTTTTCTGGATTTGTATATGGTGTTTTAATTGCAACAGTTATTTTGAAGATCATTCGGCGCAGTTCGCAGTTTACAGTCCCGCTCTTCTTAAGACCTAAGCCCATCTTGTTACTGGGCTACAGGCCGGCGAAGATTTGCAGACTTTTTTCGGGGAGACTATTTCAAGGTCACCCAGGCATCCATGACGCCATATTAATCTAACTACAACCCGCCGTCATAGCCATGCTGTGATAAAGGCCAAAAAGAATAAGATTGTCGAGTCGCACATATCTGATGTTCGTGAGCACGATTTTCAGATATAACGGGCGCCAGTTGGCTCTCAATCAATACTGTGCAGGGTATGATGACGCAATCAAACAATGCCGTATTTGGGAGGATATTTACTTTACAGAGATATTGCGTTGTCCAGAGAAATCCTTTCTCCTTGAAGGGAATTTTTCACATTTGAAGATATTGAAGCAATCATCAGATATGATTAAACAAGCTCACTTATAACTATCGGCAAAATTTTAAGGAGAAAAGGTTGCTCTAAACGACATATTTTCTCTGTTTATTAACTACGCTCCCATTACCCCGGCCGACTCGGAGCCCCTCACCGACAAAGATTCCTCTGTTATGCCCTGTGGGCCCCTAACCGACACACGGACCTCATTGTTTCAGGGTTCCCGACCGATGCAAATTGTGGGTCCCAGCCCTGTCCTTGTTTGGGAAATAGGCGGGCTCCCAGGGGCTCAGACCGACACGGAGCCGAATGTCCGTTGTTGGTGGTCTCTGACCAAATAGAAGCCCTCATCGTCCTAGGGTGACGCCAAGCAGTGCAAGAGACTCTCTGACTGACATTACAGTGCCTGGTCCTGCAGACCGGGTCCTTAATGTGACCTACAACGAGTCCTTCGTGCCTTTCAATTAGGCACTTGATCGAAGGTCCTTCTGCGGGGCCCCTCGAAAACTGCTGCAGGCCGATTCTGGGCTCCTTGCCATACAGGACCATTGTTATGCACTGTGGTCCCCAGATCGATACAGGGGCCCTTCATTGTCCCAGCGGCCCCGACCAATGTACATCGTGGGCCTGACCTTGTCCCTACTTAGGAAATGGGCCCTGAATCCTAGATCTGACGCTGAAGTAATCTGGTCGCGAAACTGTCACGTGTCACGGTCTCGACCGCAGGCGTGTAGTTTCGCAAAATAGGCTGGTGGAGGCTGAGCGGGAAGCGCTAGCTATAAATACATTTAAAATAGGTTTCTTCCCGCTTTGACCTACTTTTCCCTCAGCGTAATGGAGTCTGATGTGTTCGACACGGCTGATGTTGTGTTTGGTGGTTATTGTTGGACGACTGCTGCCATCGCTTTAGTGGGCTGCTGATGACCATCAAGTTTTCATAACTGTTCCATCGAATATTCACGTCTATTTGAAAGTTGGCTTTTTCGAGGGTTTTTCGAACGTCAACGTCTGAAAATTTGTTAACTTTTCTGGGTGCCAACACTTAACCGGTTTCTTTTTAGTTTCCGGTAAGACATCGTATCGTCTTGTGGCAAAGTAATGCAACTTGCTGCAGTCTGTGAGTGTTTAAACATCGTTGGATAGTGCAAAAACACTCAGAAAATACCACAAAACGATATCTGCGTCAACAAGACACATTCATCGTGTAATTAAAAGCAGGCATCATGCAATAAAAAACAGAAAATACTCAATACCCAAGTAACCATGGTGCGAAGAGGAGCTTTTAAAGCGTGACTAGCTCGGTCAGCTGCAATCAACTGGACATGACACCGCGGTTTTCATTTTCTTTGTCTTTTTGCCTGTGAAACAATTAGGAGAAACCTTTTTTGACTTGATATATTTTTTGTTTCCCATTTGCGCTGCACTGCCTGTACTTTGGCTCTAGAAAGTTAGGGGTCAAACTCACTGTTGGGGGGGGGGCTAAATCGGATATCGGAGGGGGGGGGGCAGTGGCCCACCAAAAGAATACAAATCGACACCCGTGCTCCACCCCCGCCCCGTAGCGGCGCCACTGGAGGGGACGATGCATGATGCTTCCCTCCATATGCCTCCGAATCGACAGGGGGCCGTGCCACCAGGATGGTGGCTTGTATGTTTCGCGGGATGGGACGAAAGGGCCATTTAGCCTCTGGCTGGAAGGGGAAATGGGCCCCTTGAAGTTCTACGTACGGGGTGGCGAAAAGAAAGGGTCTTTTGAGCCTCCAATCGATAAGCAGCTCAATGGAGGGTCCGTCGGCATGACTGAAAAAGAAGAAAGTGCGCCCGTTTCGAAGAACGTAGGCTATATTCGATGACTGTAAGGGGTAAGGACTTTTTCAGGGGGACCCTAGATTAAGCCACGTGCCACCCACCCCCGTCCTTGCCAAGATAGACTTCGCCTCTGAATTTCAGTCTCCCTCGCCGACGCCTAGATTTGCATAGTGAAATCTCGCGCTTTCACGGCGATCGTTGGGCTGGTGGTGGCAGTTGTTTATTGTCGACCTACCAGTTTGTAAGTTAGTCATCTACACTTGTAATGACGTCGCCATCTGTCATTTCCGTCCATTCGCCGGCAGCGCACTCGTTAACCAACGGCGCTTCCCTATAGACGTGCTTCTCAGACTGGCCGACAGGTGGCGGACGGCGACCGAGCGGTGGGGCGGCGTGACTGAGCGGTCTACGTGGTGGCCGGCCGGTGCGGCGGCGGCGCCGATCAGCTGGCGTGTGCGTGCCCGTCGCGTCGGCGCAGTGGCCATCTGTCGAGCTGTTGGCGGCGCGTACCGGCCGGCTGGCGGCCATCGTTCGCGGGACTGGGCGCCCGACTGCGAGCGAGCGCCTGTGCAGTGATCTTCCGGCGGTAGCGTGTCTCGACAGCGAACTGGGCACGGCAGCGGCGCAGGTACGTGGGCGGCGGCGGGTTCGCCGCCGCACAGCGCCGGCCGGCCGCGGCCGCCGCCGCTTAGACACGGCCCACCGCGCCGGCGCCCGCTCGGCGACGCCGCGCCGTCCGCCGCCGCTGTCACGGCGGGTTTTCTGTGCCACGTGGGGAACAGAGACTCGCCTGTGGCCGGCTGGCGAGCGCGACAGCGGCGGCGGCGGACCCGGCCGCCTCCGCTTGCCGCATCTATTGATTGATGCATCGATTCGCCCCGGGGCGCCGTTAACGTCGGCTGCCGGGCGGCGGTCGGCGGCCGTGGAATCACGAGTGTGTCGGCCGGTGGACCGCGGCCGCTGGAACGCCGCGGGAGGCGGGACCTGCAGGGGTGAGACGGGCGCCGGCGGGTTGACATCGCCGGGCGGGTCTCCCTCCCCTCTCCCTCCCGCACCGTTCCGCCCGCTGGGGTGCAGTGGAACCCACGCGGGCCCCTGCGCGCGGCATGCGTGCGCCGCCGTCGGCGGACGCGTGGTGCGAGGGTGCGGTACGCGTGGGGAGGGGTACTTCGGGAGAGCCCAGCGGCGGATGCAGACAATGCAGTGGTGGGGATGGGTGGGAACGGCGCTGGGGAGGCGGAGACCAGGGTTACGGCTGTCCCAGTCTGAGAATGCAGTGTTGTGCGGACGGGCCACGCGCACTGAGATAGTGTACCGACATCCCGGTGTCCACACGATGAATTATTACGATGCGCGCATAACGCACGTCTTGCGACAACAGACGCATACTGGTATCGCTTCTGATAACCGACCAGCAAAGGGCTAGTCAAGAACGCGGCGCAGGAACTTTGTTCGTATCGGTATTTACTTTATACGGTGGTGTAGCCAAGGACGGGCCTTTGGGCCAAGGAAAGCCAGGTCGGTTCCCCTTGAAGTTGGCGTGGCCCTCCGGGGGCCGAAATCATACATTTCTGCCCCTCCCCTCACATGGGCCTCCCATATCGTGAAACTGCTTTTGATATTCTCAAGGGACAAATGTCATATGTATGTAAGAAATTGAAACGATGGCCAAGTGAAAACGGGTAGTAAGAAAAGGTTAAATTATGGATGACCACTGTCCATGTCTAGGCACCAGTTATCATGGGACAGAAACTGTTCAACTTGGAAGATACGGATCTTTCATTGTATAACAAGTACTACAGTGTCGTATTGCTTTTTCGAGTATCATAACCTAAACACTGAAATGAAAGCTTAGAAGTTTCAGGGTGGCCAAAATCGTTATTTTGGGCTAGTACATTTGTGCCGTTATATGAACGTTAGATAATGTCCTGGCAGCTTATTTGTGACGCGAAATATATTTTGCGTTGGGGGCAAATTCAGCTTAACTTTAGGAGACTGACCATTAGCGCCACTTCTCTTCGCCAACCCCCACTTGGCTCCTATCTGTGAACACCCGATGGCGCTCCTGCTAAATAGTGGCGACGCGTATTCGGCGCGATGCACGTGTTTGTCCCAAAATAAGATGGTAGCAAACCCCGGCTTTTATTGGCCTCCAATAATGCAGACGTACAGTGGCCTGCGGCGAATTTTGACGTTCTGGAAGTCTGACCCCGGTGCATTATGAAGGTAATTTTAGTGTACTGCTTTGTAACGTACGAACCAACAACCCTGCGAGGAACGCCAGCAGTCTCCCATATGTTCAGTGCCGGAATTCGCCTCTGTCAGGATATTTGCATATATACCCAGTATTTGTTATCTATATGACTATACGCATGAGCCGACGACGTATACTCAAATTGAAATGCGGGGAGGTGCACCGCACAGCGCTGTGTTTGAGACTCCCTTCGCGTTGCATGTTGCCTACAAAAATAACGAAGGCCTGGCATTGTCTCTTTGGATATAATGCCCTGAAAGTTCTTACACACTGATTTCTTTATTATTTTCGTTAATGGCTTCAATTTTGCGTGGCGCTGCGGTGAACGGCTTGGGAGCAGGAAGTAAAAACTGCTGGCGGGCAGACTCTGCCACCGGAAAGAAAAGTTAGGACGTCTGAGAGCTCTCAGCGCTGCAGGAATCGGCGCCTCTCGCACAGCAGCCCACGATACCAGGATGTATTATTACCCCGGCAGTGGGCTGGGTCACGACCCGCCGACCGATCATCGGAGACGCACTCAGGTTCGGAACATCGGTGAACAGGGACGCGCTCAGTCTGGCAAGGGTTTCTAAACCATAAAAACGTGCCGCTGAGACATCAGTGTAGGATTCAAAGCCGAAAACAGTCCCCATAATTCACTAAGTGAAACCATCTTGGCGGGAGACCTTGACGGGGGGGGGGCCTTATTGTCTGGAAGGGAGATGTTTCCTGCGACCCGGTTTGGCGTCCTCCGGAGCCAGATCCTTGCTATGGTACTGACTTTTTAGGTCAGGGTTTTGTGATGAGCTCACTTTGGACATGATTATTTGTGTTTTAGGTAGCTTTCTCACGCCCATGAAATTACATGTTTCTTTGCATGTGGGTATGTGCCGCCACCGCCCGCCGAATGTGCTTCGCGACGTTTTCTGAGAGAGAAAATCCTGCACGGCGCTCCGGATTGAGCGCAGACCAATATGGACTGCTTACCAGGGTTACACCGTATCTTTTTTCAGTTGTATAAAAACCATGCTGCGTAGTGAGCGGACCGTCATTACTATCATGAAATGTTATAATATTACAAATGTGGCTACTGAGGAACATAAAAAATGCCACCAATCGTGCACATGTGATGGCTTGTTCCTGTATGATGTTAGCTGCGAGCTCTTCAAGTGCCCACTGACTTAATTTTTAAATGTCTGTATCGGATCGGTAAGTTTCCACGGCTTGGATCCTCAAATATCCATCGACCAAAATCGTTCATTTTTTCATGCCGTTGCATTGCGACTTTGTTGTAAGTAAACGTTGTTGCAGACGGACATAGTTGTAGCATAGGTGGTGAAAACAAGTCTTTAGGATTTGGCCCGAACCTTTTTTATTGGATGTGTTTATGTATTAGAGGTAGATGCTGTGTAAGCGGTGCTTTTTGCGTGAGCCCTAACTCTATTATCCGGTCGTGGAATCTCAGCTCAGCGGCAGGTTTTTCTGGCAGTTTAGCGTGTTGGCGCAGTCCGACGTACCCTCAAACCTACCAACCTACCAACTTACCCTCAAACCTGCCAACCTACCAGCTTACCCTCAAACCTGCCAACCTACCAACCTATCCTCAAATCTGCCAACCTACCGACCTACCTTAAATCTGCTAGCCTACCGACCTATTCTCAAATCTACCAACCTACCGACCTACCCTCAAATTACCAACCTACCAACCTATCCTCAAATCTGCTAACCTACCAACCTACCCTGAAACCTACCAACCTACTGACTTCCCTCAAATCCGACCTACCCTAACCTGCCTTGAAAGCCTCAAACACGGGTTATGCATTCGTGCGTCAGAAAAGGGCAGCGGGGATAGCCGATGCGCGCTAACTTGTGTTATGTGCACCACTTCTGGTCCTCCACATGCACGATATTTTCGAGATGAATCTGGGGCCTCGGCGCCTCAGAAGTCACGTGGTCCTCGCCTCGCTTGTGTCTCTGATTCACTCACAACTTACAGCGATCGAATGGCGCCGGATTATGTGGTACGGCGAGATGGAATTCCTCGGAGATTTTGGTTGGGTCGCCGAGTGCTTAGGGTCCGGGTGTCGCCAGATGTAAAAACCAGTGAGCTCTGACGTAAGTCTTTTGACATGTGCTCTTCGAGAATGTCTGCTGATATACAACTCTACGAAGTTCTGTGACGAGATGTTTTGCAAAAGTTCCGTTGTCGCACCTCGCCTGTCACACTTTGCAAACGCGTCGTAGTGTTGTTGATAAGCTTTGATCCACAGGCCGAATAAAATGACGGGGTTCCTGGGAGGATGTTTAGGAGGGAAATCTGTGATTCTTTACGCATATTAGACGGTATGCAAGACGTTAATAGCGGCGTTGTCACCACAGTGCGGCTGGTTAGCGAGCCTCCGTATTTAGGAGCAGTATACATCGGGTAGGTTGGCCAGTCTCTGCATAAATCCCCTTACAGTCTTGAAGCTTCGGTACCGGATCAGATATTGACTGAATCCTTTTAATCAGGAACAAACTATCAGAACCTTGAAATTGGTGTGATGAATCACTTCAGTGCATGGTTGCTTACTATACGGAAGTGTTGTAGGAAAAGGACAGCCAAGGCCTATAACAGACTTCGAGTGAGACAATTTCATCATCGTTATGATTTAATCTCCAATGAGTGCCTTTTCACGCTTAGTTGAATCGTAGGTTATATAGTCGAGTCTGTATATTATCCTGAAAGGGTGTCAGTTGCATGTATGCATTAAGTTCGAAACATCACCTGCGTTTTATTTTAACTGAAGATTTTGAGGTTTCACGCGGCGGCTACCGACACCATAGCACACGCACGCATGCACGTACTCACGCGTGCACATACGCACGCACGCACGCACGCACGCAGGGGTTTTCTATCGGGAGGCACCTGCCGTGTGTGCAAACGTATCATCGACGCATATGTCGATAGTTCGCCACCCCCTACCTTGTACGCCACTACTAACAACACGCTCAGACGCATATGTCGATAGTTCACCATCCCCTACCTTGTACGCCACTACTAACAACACGCTCAGACGCAGATGTCAATAGTTCACCACCCCCTATCTGGTACGCCCCTACTAACATACGCTCACACATTCTGGGCCGTCACTGTATTGGTCGGGCGGCTGCCAAGCTCGCCGCACTTCTGGAAAGGTCTCGCCTGCTGGGGCCAGCTCACGCGCCTCCCATTCAGCGGCGGCCCGCCGTGCCGCTCTCACTGGACGAACTGGACAAAGACCCGAGTACTCAATGACACCAGGAGGGCACTGCCCGACAGCACGTACATGACACCAGGAGGCCACCGCCTGACACCACGTACATGTAGGAAACCGGTGGGCCGGCCTGCTCGCTCGGTCGCTCACAACGCTTCGTGGAAATGTCCGATGGAACAGTGGCGGGGAGGCAGGTTTGACACGTGACATTTTGTGAAACACGCGCTCTTTTTCGTAACGATGGAGTTAATAACTGCCGGGGAAAACGTTTGGACAACTACTTTATTGAAATGAGTCAGTCAATAATCGACATCTTTCTGCTTGTGGGCATGGCATGTGTTTCACAAGATGGCGCGCAGGTAGGGGCGCGTCCAAACGGCGAGAGTGCCAAGTCTTTGGCCCTTACACTTGAAAACTGTTACTGCCGTTTTAGCCAGTAAGGTCGTCCCTGTTGCAGGGAGCTAGAAGAGGTGCGTCACAAAACCCGATTAGAGCGGCTCCACAATCTCAGAGACGGAGAGGTTGCCGTAAATCCAATTACAATGCGCCCCAAGCCCCAGTAAAGTGATGCCCCTCCCCCCTCCCCCATCCCCCGGCTGTAGGGGAAGAGGTGTCCCGCGGTCGGACAGGGAGAGACCCCTAAAGCCTTGAAAGAGGTCCCAAGCGGTGGTGCCGAAGTGCCCTCGAAGCGAGCCGAATGCCTGCGTCAGAGGACTCGAGGGTTTAAATATTGGAACTCCCCTAACCTATATAGAGGAGCGCTGAACAGTCTACTAGAGGGACGCCCAAGTAGAAGTAGAGGGGCGTTTGAAGCCCAAATGGAGACTAAGTACGACCCTAGCCTGAGGCGTAGTTTCGCAAAATGAGGGAGGGAGGACTCAGAAGTGAAAAATTATCCACCACGCATTAGGTAAAAAAAAAACGGGTTTCTCCCCTCATTTGGTTGGTCGACTTTCTTTCTTAAAGGCATTGCCCTACCTTTGGGGCATATTTCAAAAGCATACTCTAGTGAAACCTCAGAACTAGTTACGTTCAAAAATATCACTGGGAATTGCCACTGCAGCACCGACAAGGCATAATAAGGATATCAATTTTAATTATTTTCTAGTCCAAAGTACGCTGTCCACGCTTTGTAACAGCACTACCCATTGCTACTACGCTTCTACACTACACAATTAGTGTTGTCTCTTCCCTGCAGTCGCGACCACCGTCTTCATGACAACGACCGTGCGCGCCTCTACCGGTGCAAATAGAAGAATGTTTGCGATTGACCCAGGGGGTAAGGGCCTGTTGCTTACAGTGGCGGATCTAGGATTTGGAATACAGTCCCGACAGAGTGTTTAAAAGTTTCGTGGCATTTATGACACAACTATTTTGACGCATTAGTGTGTTACGAACCTCACAGAACACATACATTGTAAAAAGCAAGACAAATGCAATGGTTTGCTGGTATAGTTGTGAGCAGGGAGTATTTATTCTCTTTAATTTTGAGTTCACGTATCCAGTAGCTGTGGCGAATTTGTGTTCGACTTAAAACGTGCTGCACGGATGCAGATACGAGGCCAGGACATTGGGCACTGGCTCATGGCTGGGCGATAGGAGTGTCATTTCACATTTGTTTGTTACCTGCGCAATTTATGCGGGCGCAACGTTCAATTTCAATACGGTTGTGGACTCGTTAGGAGGTCACTGCGGACTATTCATCCGGTAGTGCCCCCCCCCCCCTCCCCTCGTATTGATGCAAGCATTCCTAAGTAGCACGCCGTGTGACTGTCACTGGTGGACCGGCCATGGCATATGTCCTGTCGTCCTGCAGGACTGTCTCTAGTGACTGTCACTGGTGGACCGGCCATGGCATGTGTCCTGTCGTCCTGCAGGACTGTCTCTAAGTGACTGTCACTGGTGGACCGGCCATGGCAATGTGTCCTGTCGTCCTGCAGGACTGTCTCTAGCGACTGTCACTGGTTGACCGGCCATGCATGTGTCCTGGTCGTCCTGCAGGACTGTCTCTAGTGACTGTCACTGGTGGAGACCGGCCATGGCATGTGGCCCTGTCGTCCTGCAGGACGGTCTCTAGTGACTGTCCTGGTGGACCGGCCATGGCATGTGTCCTGTCGTCCTGCAGGACTGTCTCTAGTGACTGTCACTGGTGGGACCGGCCATGCATGTGTCCTGTCGTCCTGCAGGACTGTCTCTAGTGACTGCTGCGCGCCTTCGGCCTGCAGGGTACACGAATGTCACGCTGTACGCTCGCTGCCGGCCCGCAGGGCTCACGAGCGTCACGCTGTCGGGGCGTCAGCAGGTGCTCCCTCAGCAGGGTCTCCGTCATCAGTGGTCTCCCCGTCAGCAGGGTCTCCCGTCAGCAGGGTCTCCCGTCAGCAGGGGTCCCCGTCAGCAGGGTCCCCCGTCGGCAGTGTCTCCTGTTAGCAGGGTCCCCCGTCAGCAGGGTCCCCCGTCAGCAGGGTCTCCCGTCAGCAGGGTCCCCGTCAGCAGGGTCTCCCGTCAGCAGGGGTCTCCTCCGTCAGCAGGGTCCTCCCGTCAGCAGTGTCTCCTGTTAGCAGGGTCCCCCGTCGGCAGTGTCTCCTGTCAGCAGGGTCCCCCGTCAGCAGGGTCTCCCGTCAGCAGGGTCTCCCGTCAGCAGGGTCCCCCGTCAGCAGGGTCCCCCGTCAGCAGTGTCTCCTGTTAGCAGGGTCCCCCGTCAGCAGGGTCCCCCGTCAGCAGGGTCCCCCGTCAGCAGGGTCTCCCGTCAGCAGTGTCTCCTGTTAGCAGGGTCTCCCGTCAGCAGGGCTCCCGTCAGCGGGGTCCCCGTCAGCAGGGTCTCCCGTCAGCAGTGTCTCCTGTTAGCAGGGTCCCCCGTCAGCAGGTTCTCCCCGTCACCCCGGCCCGTTCTCTGTGCAGCGATGTCCTGTTGCGGTAAGGGTTTAGAGTTGCCGGGTCACGGCGGCGCGGTATCGGTGACGAGCGCACAGGTACGGTAAAACACGCCGGGCTCTTGCAGTGAGGTGTAACTGTGGAGTCGCCGAGCCACTGTGGGACTGGCACCGGGTCAAAGTGTTGCCCTCAAAGTGCGCTTTAATGCCCAAGGCCTTTGTGCTGCGTATTTAACTGGGCTACCTGATGACACAGGGCTGTCGTCAGCAGCACAGATTGGGATTACACAGCCGTGGGTAACAGGATACCGCAGTGTCGCGCGAGTTTGGCTGCCATGGCGTCCACTGGCCGTCAACTTGAACTGGTATACATCACTCACGTGGTGGAAACTACCCGGTGCGTCTTTCAGACCTTGCCCGTTCGGTGTGAGGCCTACGGTATATTTTGGCATGTTACTCTTCATTTTATATCGTCAGCAAACTGTCTGACACACAGCATGGTGTTGATGGGTCTTGTAGGATATTGTCACAATATCTAGACACAGATTCCTTAGAAGTGTTTGAAAGGTTTTTAGGTATTACCACCCCTGTAAAAAGGAGATGTATGTGCGAACAAAAGCGGTGAACATCACGAATCATGACCGAATTTCAAGCTTTTGGCACCAGTGACCAATATCAAACCGAACCAGTGATTTAGAATAAAGGAGTGCGAAGCACGGCACGCTACGGTCCTGTAGTCGCTGTGATCACTCTGCACACAACTGACTGACATTGTCTTTGTCATGCTATTGTTCTGCGGGAGTGAAGAACGGAAGTTCGGAGGGTGTCTTTTCATCACAAGGTCATTAATTAATAACCTGCCTTCATTGATGTCCTCGTCCATCGTCGTAGTTGGGTAAGTAACTTCTACGTAAGCTATCTACAAGGAATTGAAAACTGAATCGCTGTTAAGTACCGACCGTTCAAAACTTAATTTTGAAAACATCGATAGTCCATACGGCAGTGCGGAACTTACCAGGCGGGATAGGGCTTTGATTAGTCATGCCCCCGTATATGCTCAACGGAGGGCCTTTAAATGTATAATATAGCATATATATATATATATTCAACCATCAAAGAAGCTGTGAAACACCACTGCGAGGCCATGTTCCGTTCACCACTACGCGCGATTGCCCGGCTGGCCGCGGTGCGGGTTTGACAAGTCACGGCTGGGGGCAATGACCAGCACGACTGTGCATGGCATAGAGGCCTTAGAACCAAATACATCTACGGGCGATTGTCGATTTATATATGTTACAGATCTGAAAACAAGCCTTAGCCGCGGTCCAGAAACCGGCTAGTCATTCCCGGTCCGGTAGTTCGGTTGGTTGGAGCATCTGCCTTCTGATTGATCCACCCGTGGTGGCGGGCTGGATTCGAATCGCTCTAGGTGCCACTATTTGCCACTAACTGGGATGGTATGCGGTCAGTGGCAGCGGCAGCGCCAAAGGTCAGGTGACGTCAGAGGACCGGATCGACCGCGCCTAGTATTGCGGCACGTGAAGCTCACGGCGGGCCGATAGTGTAGCGGCTAATGTGTCTGCGTTAAACACTGTGCGCCTAGGAAACTAGAGATACGGGAAATCGATCCCCCCGATGCCTGCACTTCCTTCCAGTGTGACAGGCAGGCAATGCCATATAGCCTCAGCATCGGAGTGCGTCGTAAAGCCCAATGACACCCACATGTTAATCTCACGCCGAAAACTTTGCCGTTGACCGACATTTCGCGGTCGGATGTTGAGGTCAGGACCCACGCAACAAGCACTGCTTAGCGTCAGCGCTGATCCCAGAAATCCATCCCACTAAAGACTGGGACTATATCTAACACAAAAAGTTATGTAACGAATGACAACGGCATGTTACCACCATGTAGAGTAGTCGGGCCCCTATGTTGCTGGGCTGGGGACAAGTCTGCGCTGCTGATGACCAGTCTGTCCACGTTGCAGGTCTGAGGACACGCCTCGACAATGGCCGACAACCAGGCGGAGTACGACGATGGCGACCGTGCGCCGCGGCCGCGGCACAACGGCCGAGCGGGCGGCGGCTTCGGCGGCGGGGGAGGCGGCTTCCCGGGCCAGGCGGCGCCGCACACCGACTTGCCGCTGCGCATCCTCGTCAACAGCGAGATGGTGGGCGCCATCATCGGCCGCCAGGGCAACACCATCCGCCAGATCACGCAGAACACCCGCGCCAGGTGAGGCCAACACCATCCGCCAGATCACGCAGAACACCCACGCCAGGTGAGGCCAACACTGCCAGGTCACGCAGAACACCCGTTCCAAGTTACGCGCATAATACGGCCCACAAGATCATGCAAGACATCCGCAATGGGTGAGGTCGGAGCACTGCGATCGCCCGGACTACAAGATCAGGTCACAGGAACGTCACTAGGTGATCAGGTCAGGCCGGGGAATGTCCTCGTCAAGCCATGTCTTAGATTAACATCAGCGGTATGCCAGGGTTGGCAATCGAGATTACCTGCACCGGGTCCGACCAGCAACATTAGCGATGTTGTGCAAGGTCACGCTGAAAAGTGATCCAGTCATGGGTACACAGTAAACATAAATTGTTTATAAAAAAATCATGGTATGTCGGCGCGTCGCTGAGGTCTGGTCGGAGCCGACGAGCGTCGTGCAGGCGCTGGGCGGAGGGCGATGTATGTGCATGTGATGCGTGTCCTGCAAATAGCTCTCTAAGGCCATTGTTATTGCTTGTAGATGTGACATAGAAGGCTGCTAATTAGTGGGGATATGCTACAGGTGTTCTTCGCTGCCTTATGCAAAAAGCGCGGAAAGTATCTTGTGACGTTCCTTTAAGCAGCCAAAGGAGAAAGCATCCATTTCAGTCTTAGCATTAGCCCATAGGTGGGATAGGTGATTTTACCCGACGGATAGGATAGGTGGCATTGTCTGATAGTAGGATGTGTAGCATCGTTTTAGCTCTGCTATCATTTCCCGGGCTATCCTCGTCGTTATCTGTCCTCAGTGTCATCGCGTCATTAAGCGTCTCCAGCCATCCCTCCTGACTTCTCCGGTCACTCTCTCCCACATCTCTAGTATCTCCGACTGGCGTCTCCAGCCGTCTCTTCTGACGTCCTCAACCAAAGGGACGCTTTTTGACGTTTCCGATCAGCTATTTTGCCGTCCTTGATCTTCCCTGCCTGAAGGTTCTGATCTCCGCGTCTGAGGCCCTTCCCCGATCTAATCGTCTGACGCCCCAACGCCCCAATCTCCGCGTCTGAATCCCTCTATCTGCGCGTCTGACGCTTCCTATCTACGCGCGCAGGGTAGATGTGCACAGGAAGGACAGCAACGGCGCCACAGAGAAGGCCATCACCATCTACGGCAATCCGGACAACTGTGACAACGCCTGCCGCGAGATTCTCGACGTGATGACCCAGGAAGCAGCCAACACCAACAAGGGGTACGGCTGGCTTCCGGGCGCCCTGCCGGACGGACAGCATTCCGATGGCTAGGGTGGGGATCATATTCATCGAAGCGGTCTAGCGTGTACGGGGGTCGAGCTCACCGTCAAACGTTCAGGTTCCATTTCCGTC